AGCCTTTTCAGCCAAGAGGGTGTGTTTGAAAGTAATCGGTTATCTCTACGACCTTTCTCCCTTCTTCGCTGCACTTGCCATTTGGGCGAAGAAGTTCAAGCTAGAATCAGGCATTCATGTCGATGGCATTTGTACATTCTATTCCATTTCAATTTGTAATTATACCGCTTAAATATTGCCAATATCGCTGCAAAGGGACTAAGCAACTTTTTTTGGAAAACAATTTTTTTTAGATTTTCTGTAAGTTTGCTTTTAAATGTACATGCACATCGTAATTCTTTTGGAGATATACGAGATTTAAAACCACCCTGCAAGCATTTGGGAAGATTAGTCTTGTTTCGATTTTTGATATTTTATATATGTAGCATTGAATTGTTTCGATTTATAAATAAAAAACACTTTTTGTCACCAGTACTTTATTATAATTAGATCTTTTTTCATTTCTATTCTAGTGATATTTACCACTCCAGCACCGCGAGCTGCAATAATGAGTTTTTACATTTTGTAAGTTTTATTTGTATTTTAATTTTTAATTTTGTTAACACTTTGGTGATGAAATTAATTGGTCCGTGTTTATGAATTTATTTTGATTTCAACATTTCCAATTACTGATCTTTTTCTTTTTCTAAATTATCTCATTCACCATTTCAGTATTTATTAAGATATGGTAATATTAATTAAAGTTTCCTTTTTCATTTACAGGTAATGTCATTTGAAGGCGGTGGCAAGCAAGCACATATGTACATGAAGCAGCCAGCTGTGGAGATGCGAGTTGTGTCGGATGAATGGAATGAATGTTGCGTGCACTTTTAACACGTTCGCTTTGCTCTGTTACCTACCGGTGGGTTACACACATCTTTCATTAAAGGCCACGGGGCCGCACCGGTAGCCACATATTATTATTATGTATGGAGGTTTGTTGGCGCAAGATTTTTTGCTGTCTGGCATATAGATAAGTCACTTCTTGGTTATAGGAAAATTATATGGATATTGCTATTTGCTGTTTTATTGATTTTTTAGATTCAAAACAATTTAAAGTATGTAAAAACATAAAATGATTGAAAACAAAACAGTTAGTCACACTCTTTAAAAAACAAAATGTACAAAAAACGTGAAACAAAAAAAACTAAATATATAACTACTTAGTAATGCTGACTTTAAAAGAAATGTTGATGTCACCACAGTAAACCTTGTTGCTTTTCTGTGGTGGCAGCGAAGTTACTTGCCATTACAGCATTTTCCTTATAAGAGAAAACAAATATTGTATTTTAATTGAAAATAACTTGTAAATAATGTAGCTTACTTTGGTAAATAAAGTTAATATTTTGTAGTACTGCGCCTCATTAAGTGCATCCTAATTTATTGCTGTTTCATTTAAAGTTTGCGAAAACAGAATTTAAAACAAGGAAAAAAATTCCTTTGTGCAGTAACATTCATTCATCATCAGCAGCATTACGTCGCACTGAGCATGAGCGATTCTAAAAGCAGCAGGTAAGTCTTGATGGTTGTAATAAATTAATGAAAATTTCTATTCGAGACGAAGGCTGCGGCTTCCAAAAGAAGTTGTAGCATTATGGTTAATACAAAGAGAAACGACTTTGTTCAACTCAATACATCCGCTCCTTAAAGCTTGTGCTGCTTTTCGATTTTTCGCAAAAGAAAGTCCACGGCAATGTCTTCAATTTGGTATGTCGGTAGTTTTGAAAGAGGTGCTTCAGTTGTTAGAGGAATAAATTATCAATCAGTGTTCGCTTTTGTTATATCAAAAGCGCGTACTTCACGGGAACTAAAATTTCAAGATTGGTTTCACAATATTCTGTAAATGCAAACTACATTGTAAAATGTTGTATCTTTCAAACTATTAAAAACTAAAAAATTTGACATACTTTTAAATTTTCGCTCCTAAATACGCTTCAGAAACCTTCCCAGCAACAACAAAATGCAGTTGCCCGAATACACACTGGGTGCATTCCAAAACGTCAAAATACAAAGCATCAGCCTCTTTTATCTCTAAATTTCAGTAGATTGTAATGCCGACCAGCACCTACTTTGTAGCAACTGCAGTTGCCAGTTGCCATCTGTATCGATAATCGACCCATTGTAATGCATCGGGTTGTGGTGGATACAACTCTTGTACGATTGACAAAGTTCGGGTGTCCGTATGACAGATTCATTTAAACTATCCAATTGCCAACTCATCCGAATTGATTGTTCGGTTCCATAATAAGAGCTTAAAAACACCACTAATTTCAACACATTGAGAGCATTTGTTAGATTCTTTCCTTAGTTGTTCAAATGATGATTTATTTTATATATTTGTCTTCTTTTCCCGACATAACTTTATGTTGTTGACTATAAATTATTCTGATATCTTATTATTACTTTCAATTCTTGATTTTAAAGCCTCCATATTCTTATAACTTGTATATACATTCATTGCAGGTATATTAATAGCAGCGACATTACGTAGTTATATCGTGCAACTAAAGAGCTACGCTGTTAGCGGGGTTAAGTTAGGATATTTATCAAATGCATTATATTAAAAGGTAAGATATATCCATATGCACATTATATATATATGTATGTGCATATATTTAAAAATATGCTTTTCGATGCGAGT